TTCAATCACAATGTGATGATGACATCGCCCTCATCACAAGGCACAAGCCCTGTTGAATAGACTGACCACCATCATTCCATCTTTTGGCACGCGCCTCGCAACTTCAAAGTGCAAAGTCATGCTTCAGAACGTGCAGTATGCAAACATATACCTTACAACTCAAGGAGAATCACTGGAGATTGTGGGAAACTTTACAGAGCTCGGTAGTTGTATTAGCTCTGACAGAAGTGTGTCTGATGAAGTCAGTGCCAAAATCTCGAATCACGTTTGCTAATTTGCGTCACTTGTGGCGTCAAAAAGGCATCTCACTGGATCTTAAGGGTCATGTGTACCAGGATACGGTAAGGGCTGTGCTGTTGTATGGGTGCGAGACATGGCCTCTTCGGATAGATGATGTGAGGCGTATTCTGGTTTTCGAACACCAATGCCTCAGAAACGTGGCTGGTTCCGGATGGCGTCAGAGTGTTAGTAACGAGGTGATTAGAAAACGGGTATTTGGTTGTTCTGCAGGCACCTCAATCCGAGAAAACATCCAGTATCATCGAATATGATGGCTCGATCATGTGCTACAAATGCCGAAACACCGTCTACCAAGACGAGTGTTGTTCTCCGTGCCTCCTTCAGGTGGACAGCGTATGACCTAGCAGAAAGGCGTGAAAGAGATCATGAAGAGTTAGGGTGTTACTGCTGTTGTACGACTTCCAGGATGGGGTCCCCGTGACCCCGTCTGTGCTTGACTGGAGACGTTGCAAGAAACGGCGGCTAATCGATGTCAGTGGCGTTCGTGCTGTCAGTTTCTTTTCAGATTGTCTGATTGAGCGGTTGGAGGTGTAGGCACCTCAGTATGCTTGACATAGGCCAGCACTAGGTCCCCTCCCTCACCCACTTTTTTCTCTTCTTCTCACTCTAGGGCTTTTAATATGATCATATATATACATATATAATCAGGCAAACCTTGTAGTTGTACGGCAGTGAAGCATCAGTGCTGACATTAATGGTGCTGTCTTTGATGATGGTGATGATGATGAGGATGATGATGATGATGTTGATGATAAGGATGATCAGTCAATCGTGGCCAAAAGTTCAAATGTTTGAATGCTACTCGGTAGGTCGCTGGTTGGAAACCTCTTTGAGTTTCGTGAGACGAGCCCTGTCGATGCAGACGAAGCGTTAGCGTGGCTGGATAATGTCGGTGCGCGACATGTCATAGTGGACAATATGAATGGTTCCCTTCATGTCCTCTTCTGGTAGCCTTCTTTCGGAGAACACTTTGCTTGCCCTGTCAGCAAGTTTGTACCACATGTTCCTTTCTATTCACGTGCTTGCTTCTCACTGGCTGGCTCTTGAACTATGGTTTTTATACGTGCGATTTCACTTGGCAATATAGTGTATTTTTTGGTCTATCGTATCGATGATTTTCCGGTCTTGAATCCACAAATAACTAGGACTATGGAGCTGTTTTCCTTACATTATAGAGCGAGAATGTCCTGATCGATGATTTTGATAGACACCTTTCGACTGGACGAGACACGCTTCAATTACATATAGGCTGTCGAGAGTGAAGTTACTAATCAGATGAAGGCTGTAACCATTTGCAACGGGAACTAATAAGACCTTTGTACTAAGAAAAACATTCACAAAGGGTACCAGAAAAATCGATTTTGTCCGCTTCTTCAGAGGTCTATGAAAGATCCGGGGCAACGCATTTTCTGTCACGTATTTAGCGCTTCAGAAAATTTTCACGAGTAAGTATCACATCCTCCTTCAAACACGACAAAATTACACACTATTTCGATCCAAAGGTGTACTACTCATTTCCTTATTCAACCAAAAATTGTCTTGGACAGATTACATCCGCACATTTCATCATCCACGTTTTGTAGCATCAGAAGATTTCCCATGGTTTCATTGAGGTGTTATTAGGGACGAGACGGTTCAAGTGGTTACAGCGTGAATTTACTGACCAGAAGGTCCGTGGTTCGATCCCGACCTCTGCTTCCCGACTTCCACTGTCTAGGTTGGCAGTATCCCAGCCCTCGTGCTTCTTTCAGGTGTCATGACAGCTAGGCACCGAAAAGGTGTAACAGCTGAACGAGGTGTTATTATGTCGCAAAAACTATTCACTCCTCCCCTGAGCCTCATGTTAATTTCTATGTATTACGAACAAAATGTTGTAAAACTTGCGTTAGAGAAACACTACTTTGTTCTCAATTAATGCATCACATGAATCGGTACAAACGGAAGTTTCCACATCAGACTCAAGCAAAATAGGATGTATCTCTAACCAACAATTGCCTGGGCTACTTGCACAGGTTCTGGTCATGTCATATTTTAACCACAGTGACTGAATTTGTTTTAGAAACGTAAACTGCGCCTCACCAGAAAAATCAGTAAGCGTTACATACCGACAAAAGCATCATAAACCAAATAGAACCCACTCCGACGAAGGTGTAGTTTTACACACCCCGTAAACGCGTTGACAGCCCGATATTTCCAACGTTAACGGGGTGATTTAGATTGTCTGACATATGCTCCTCGTCGTTCTACCCGTAATGGTTGGTTTGGAATGCTGCGATCTCTGCTGTTTCACCATCCATTAGTACCAGCTAATGGAATGCTAGTTTTAGAGTTATCCATCTCTGTTCTCCCGTATTTTTTCTGTTGAAGTACATCATATCCAGTTATGGTCACATGCGTTGCGTCTGTCCACCATGGCTAAAGTGTTTGAAAGCCAGTAGTCACTGAGTAGTGCCGATTTTAAAGTGACCCGTTGGAAATAAATTATCCTGCAGGAGCGACAAATTTAAGTTGTAATACACCGATCATACTATGCTCAGATAACCGACCTATTTCGTTGATTGATACGGGTCAAATTATCGGACAGGAGGCGATGTGTACTACTCTAAATTACACTTTCATCAATTTCACAATAAATAATTGTCATTTCACTGGAAACCGGTAACTTTCGAGGAATACACTCATTGGCAAATCAATATGGTTTTCATGAGAGACCCAACTGAATCTCTCGTTTATGATACTCTACAAATGAATGTGCTGCACACAGGCCGCCTCATGGTTCAGTTGACACGATATTCGAGATATCGCAGTATATGTTCAATGGGGGAAACTACTCACAAAGCTGCTGAAAACTCTTTGACAGCCCATGACCTGTTTCGCCCTTCTTGTGGTTCATCAGGTAGGCTCAGTCCCCGAGTTTCCGTCAACCTTATGTTCTGATTGAAACCAAATTGCACGAAAAACCAGATTAATTTGTAAATGAGTGTATATTTTCTAGTAATCAATTTTGTTAGGTATATTTCAGGTGCCGTTTCTACATTCCAAAGAAAACGCTCAAAATAAAGTAAACCGTCATATCAGCAAACCCACGGCGAAGTTTTTCCTCTTCAGACGGCAGGTGCGTTGTGACAAGTGATCCGCAGGCTCGTTTGTGACACCTTAATAAGTAGATCAATTAACGTCGAGTTATCTGGCGAATACGTCGCAGTTGATGACCAAAACACTTAACATAATGCTCGAAAAAGATTTTCACACC